GTTTTATGGGATGTACAACATTAAACAACCAACCATATGTATGTAATTACGTATGCAGAATAGAAGTATATGAATACAGTAACTATGTATATGATTTGATAATGTATGGATATGTTGTATGAGATATGTTAGAAGTCATCTATTGTTGGTGGTGTGTCATGGGGGTTTAATGGGGAAACCAACCGCAGTGGCGAAAAACACTGAATATATCTGAATATAAGTAACCAACAATAACAAATTATGAAATATTACCAGCCAAATATGGTGTATATATATATAGAATATAGCTATAGCCAAATCTAGGCTACAATAGGAGTCAAACCATAGGAATCATCTACTACAGATAGACCTTGCATCCACCGGTTGCGGCTAAGGCAGAAAAGAACCTACTGGTAAAGCTTCAACGCTGAGAACAAAATCGATTCAAAAGAAACCTTTGCTCGATGGAATGCTGCTGTTACAGGAAGGAAGGTTCAAAACACAAAAAAAATGTTGGATAGTTTCGGCCCAATCTACCCGCAATGATTTCTAAATATTGTTCCCCGCAGCGGCTCCCCGCTTCAGCAAATGCCCCTGGATAGAAAGCGCTAGAAGTGTCCAAGATTTCCTCGCTGGGTCTCTGGGTCTCTGTTCCTCCCAGTTCCTAGTAAGTCAAAAGAGTCAGCATGCAAGGAAGCAGGCAAGCAAACAGGCAAGCGGCAAGCAGTCGCACAACCTTTGTCCGTCTCTCGGAAGTTTCTAATCTAAAATCTAAAATTCGATTCCATTGACAAAGTAACAAGATATGACAGGATCGCTTTTGGTTTACAATCCACTTCAATATGCAAAGCTGCATAGTGCTCCCGTTCTCCCGTTTCATAACTACTTTTCCAAGAATGCCAAACCTCGGATTTGCCCTCCACATCCACCTGTAGGGTTTTAATATTCCCCCTATCCCATCTCATTATACTGTATACTAGTTAACTAGTTGGTAAATGTTTCCCAAAAATATGTGTTGGTTCAGCATACCTCCTTCATAAACCTTACATTTAAGCTATCTTTAATGGCTCAAATAGATTTACAACTGTGGAGGGTGTCATGGCCTTCCTATAGGTTCTTGTAGGAGCTACGCTACCCTACCCGCAGTCTTGTCATGGACAATCCAAAGATGCCCAGGCTTGACAATGTTTTTTTCTGGTTAGGTTACTAGATAAGAATCAAAGGATAGCATTTGTGTTTGCCCTCGGTGTATTTACATAGCTATGGAAAATAATCGTTTTTGATCATTTTTGCATGTATATCACTGGTGACTGTTTCCATAGTCCTGTTCAAATATATACCAGATGCTATTCAAGCGACAAATTTCACTAGGCTTCTGGAAGGGGAATTCCGAAATTCCTGAGGTTTTGGATATAAAAGCGACGTCAAAACAATCGCCACCCAACAAGTGCTGCGACTCAAAAGGGAATAATACCATGACGGGCTGTACAGATTTTGGGGTCAAAACTTCTTTGAAATGGGTGGGGAAAGCATCCCAAAATGTTCTCAACGTTGTGGACCCATTGGTAGTCCTAGTTTGAATCCATCCCGTATTACAGGGTCATATATTGATACATCACCACACCTAGAACTTGTGGTTTGTCTGAACATAGGATACTCCATAAAATTCCATGGTTAATCGTCACTTTTCCGATTTAAAATGCCATGGGAAAATGATGAACCTAACTTTTGGACAGAGCCCGAGCCCGGTAGGTCGGTCTTTTCCGTTGGGATTCCCCGAGTCGGCCCCAAAAAAAGCAGGATGCACGCCCAGCAAGCCCCACGAAGAATATTCAAAGGACTACAGCAAGGAGTGACCGTCTGGATGTATCTGGTTAGTACTACATCTGAGGGACTGGAGACCAAGTACCAGTAGCTCCGAAAAGAGTCCAGGACCATCCAGATAAATTCGCCATTTTGGGTGAAGAAAGCTGTTTTGATGCCTAAGAGTTTGTCCCAAAATAGGGCACTTACTTCAAATCCAGGGGTTGATCATCGCTTTCCCCATTCACATATATATATATATGTATACATATGTATATATATATGTGTGTATACATATATATATATATGTATGTATGTATAAAAATATATGGATGTATATACATATACAATACACATGTATATATATATATATGTGATATATGTGGATATATAATGATTTATATAAGTATACACTGAAAACTGTGTGTCGCCAGAGTCGTCCAACAGAGTGCCCACGGCCCTGAAGAGTTTTGCGTACTAAAGAAGCCTCGCATATCATTTCTCTGTTCGCATGAACACGATTCGCAGACGTCAGGCTGGGTGGCATATCAGCAGCTGTGCAAAAAGAAACAACAGACTCGGTGGCCATGGGCCTGTTTTGTGGGAGCCCGCTGACACATGTTTTCACAGGCTGAATTTGTTTTAAAGCATATAGAATAATGCTGGTTGGTGGTTGGGCCACCCCTCTGAAAAATATGAAAGTCACTTGGGATGATGACATTCCCAATATATGGAAAGTCATAAAACTCATGCTCCAAACCACCAACCAGCATATAGAATAAAATGTCATCCAGCATAATAAAAACACACAAAACCTCGACATGTCTTCTGCGGGATGCCTGAGGTTGGGCGCCCACAACTTGCAACGGCTAGGGACTGCCAGCATTGGAACGACACGTCGCAGACAGTTGAAATATGCTGAAATAATTAGCCTCTGGTAAAGTAACATAGCTATTGAAAATGGCCATAGAAATAGTGGATTTACCCATCAAAAAATGGTGATTTTACATAGTTTTTCGTATGTTTGCCAGGGGGTATGAAAGTCATTGAAAGTCCGTTGGATATATGGCTTTGTCAGCAAAAGTAGGGTGCCCCATTCCATCGCTTCTCATAATTTCGAAAGATTGCCCCATATACCGGAGAGTATCCCGCTCCGGGTGCACAGCCGCCCCCAGCAACTAGTCTTGGCCATACAGGCAAGTCGTGCACCTTTTAATTGGCACCGAGGAATCCGACGTCCGGACCGCACCATCTTGGGTCAGAAAAAAACACATTCGTTGGCAAAATGACCCCCAGTTGGATGGCTTGGGTGTGCATCCCGCACAAAGTAAGTGGTTTCTAATCCATATATATATATATAACCCATATAATCTCTTGATAAGTAAGCGAATATTCCATTGATCTGACTGGGGGTCCAAGCCATTTACGAGCCGTAGGGCCCGCACCCCCCCAGATCTATGTATGTCCCAAAGATATTCCCTGAAAATCAATTCTCCATTTCGGATGGACTCACCAAATAGAGAAATCCGTCGGAAGTTCGCGCAACCACTTGGTTCCATATTTCTTCCAAGTGCCCACAGCTTTTCATGGCTTTAACTGAAGGAAATTGTGTTTTAATAAAGATCTAATGGAGAATTCATGGGAAACCCAATCATCTTTATGGAATATGTGATGGGATATAAATGTATATAATGTTTGTTGGTTTAAGTACCCCATGGATGTCATGATATACACCCTCTGGCCTCTGGCAGTTTGCTATGGAAAGCATATCATATAGCCCATTTAGTTATGATGAAACATGGTGAATTTCCATGGCTATAATCCATGTCTATCCATTCCTGCTAATTCCCATTTCGTGTCAGAGAAATGCCAATTTCGCTTGATTCAATGGCCATGTTTGTTGGTCAAATCCACATTCTCCTTTACTAAGGCCCCTTAAAATGTTGGTGAAATCATTTTCAAATTTGCCAAACTCAAACTCACCTCCCCAGATGCTAGTTATATAATAAGTTTGTTTCCCCAGAATTGCCAAGCTTGTGGGGAATCAACTGGCACAAAATGCTTGACAAACAGCCAGAAACGGCCTTCGGGTTGCCAGATTGGATTGGTTCATCATCCCCGTTAAGCTAGTATAAGCCACCAACTAACCATGTAACCATGAAATGCGGGTTTCCTGAAATTGGGGTGGTACCCCAATATCTGGATGGTTTTTAGGTGTCTAATGGAAAAAAACTATTAGAATCGATGATTTGGTACCCCCATTTCAGGAAACCTCCATATCTACCTTAAAACATCTACTATTTCTTGGTGCATTCATATCATTTCATATCTCCTTTTCGGCGATGCATTGCTGTTAAATTCAGGGTTGTTTCAGGTGAACTGGCCATCACCAGCAAACACGGCACCTTGCGAGATGCGAAGTATGCTTAAACAGTGGCCCAAACAGCACAATTCAACCATCTGATGGTTAATAGTGGGAGAACAATGAGGTCTTGATGAAATTTATCCAGATTATAAGTCATCCTAATTGCTGATTAAATTCAAATATCATAAATATTAATTAGTAATATCAAATTATATCCATGAAAAAATCCTATATATACACAGCTTGCACAGAGCATTCAAGACATTTGGTGACATTATATCCATTTATACCCTACATATCCATTGTATCATTTATATCCACTGATTCTTCATATATCACTGATTGGTGGTATACCTACCCCCTCTGAAAAATATGAGTTCGTCAGTTGGGATTATTCTTCCCAATCTATGGAAAGTCATAAAATTCATGTTCCAAACCACCAGCCAGCTATGATTGAATATGGCGTTTTGAGGGTCTACTAACCCTACTAGTCCCCCGCGTTTTTCATCATAAATAGCTGGCATCTATCAATCTTTTCATCTCCAAACATTCATATCATCCCATAAACTTAGGTATCATCATGTGTGGTTTTCTTACGCAGCACGGGTGGACCCCCAAAAAAAATTAAAACTTCCCGGTGAAGGGGGCCGAACTCCAGGTGAAGGGGCCCAAAAAGGACTTACTTTTTGCTCTGAGGGATGTACAATATATGCAATATTATATGTATTATCTCAATATATATAAATATATATAATATGTATATAGGATATATGTATATAAATAATATATATGCATATATCATATATGTATTATAGGACTATATATGTTTATCATGATATACTAATATACATACCTATTTCTGATCCAAGATTTCACATCAAGTACGGAAATCTTCTAATTGCGGCGTCGCTTGAGTCGTTCCCGGTACAAAAAAAATGTCGAAACGAGAGCATCCCCAGCTGCAGCCGAATGCTCATAGCCTCAACTCAGCTTTGCATTCACCCAATTTTCCGGTAATATCATGCTGGTTGGTGGTATACCTACCCCTCTGAAAAATGATGGAGTTCGTCAATTGGCATGATGACATTCCCAATCTATGGAAAGTCATGAAATTCCATGGTTCCAAACCACCAACCAGCAATGGTTCATCATCATATTCCCATTGGAAAATCTCTCTACCTTCATCTCAAACTAGGCTACCCTAGTTTAAGCCCCAAGCGTTTCTCACCAGTTTCTCATCAACCAGATAGAATGGGTCATTTTTCATGTCCCCATGGGTCACATCACCCAACCAAAATCGGTATATGGTCAATGCCATGGCTACTTTTTCAGGTGATGTCCTTTATATTCCCAAAATGGGACATTTAATGACCCCTGGAATATCACGAGTCCCTGAGTCCCATAAAACATGACTTTCATGCTCTAAACATACAACAAAACCCACGGGGAAATCACCATGTTTTTCGGTAAATCAACTTTTTTTATTGCCATGTAACAAAAACGAACTGTTAGTTTACCGGAGGGTATGGTTTATGATCTCATATTAACAATAATAGTAATATTTACCAGTTTAATATGAAAAATAACTGGTTTAGACATGGATTATATGTGTATATATATATATACGTGTAATAGCATGTAATTGCATGTTTACCAGTTGCAGTATAAACATGTTAAATATGACTAGATTCTGATTATCCCCAAGTAAAATCCTAGGAAGAAGTGTCCGAAGTGCCCGAGGCCCTCATCAACTCTATTGGAGTCCGGGAACGGTCACGTAAAGTAAGTTGGGTGAATGTACATGTTACCGTACGAAAAAATTACCCTCTGGTAAACATACAAAAAAATGTGGAAAATCACCATTTTTCATGGGAAAATCCACTATAAATGGTGACTTTCCATAGTTATGTTAAATTACCAGAGGGTAAAGTATTAGTACTAAAGTACCTACCCTCTGGAAAAGGTCTACATAACTATGGAAAATCACCATTTTAATGGGTAAATCAACTATTTCTATGGCCATTTTCAATAGCTATGTTAGTTTACCAGAGCTAACCAAGGTTGACCCAGTATCAAACATTATCAAAATATGGAGGTTTCCTGACATAGGAGTACTCCTGAAACATCCATTTTATTTTGGGATGTTCCCACAAAAACCATCCAGCTATTGGGATACCCCCATGGCCATGGAAACCACCGTATATTTTTTTTATCCGGGGTTCCTTTCCAAACTTAGCTAAGCATAGGGCAACTTGCATGAAATCATTAAGCAACCTGGCTTGGTGCCCGCCCGCCCGCTTGGTGTCAGACCCTAAGGCGCCTGCGTGCACGAGGCAAGGGATGGTTTGGCGAATGTCCCATTGGATATATACATGTTGGTTCCGATACATGTATGATATATACTGGAAATTGCAGACAAGATGGAAACAAAAAGATATATACCAAATTACTGTTCTCTCTCTTTTGGAGCTTACTTTTCTTGTCATGATGAAGTAAATAGAAGATGAAATGATCAATGGCGTTCCCCATGTCTAGCGTGGTTTTATCTCTATATATATATATACATATATCCAAGATCTATATATTCCAGGGTGACTTTGTATATACACAAATGTAGGTATGCATGCCTGCCTGCCTGTCTGTCTGCCTGCCTGCCTGTCTGTCTGTACGTATGTAAGTATGTGAGTATGTTAAGTCTGTATGTAAGTATGTAAGTATGTAAGGATGTAAGGATGTGAGTATGTAAGTCTGTAAGTCTGTATGTAACTATGTAAGTATGTAAGTTTGTAAGTATGTAAGTATGTTTGTAAGTAGGTAAGTAAGTAAGTAAGTAAGAAAGTAAGTAAGTAAAAAAAGAAAGTAAGTAAGGAAGTAAATAAGTAAAAAAGTAGGTAAGTAGGTAAGTAGGTAGGTAAGTAGGTAGGTGGGTAGGTAGGTAAGTAAGTAAGTAAGTATGTAAGTATGTAAGTATGTAAGTATGTAAGTAAGTAAGTATGTAAGTATGTAAGTAAGTAAGTAAGTATGTAAGTATGTAAGTGTGTATGTAAGTAAGTAGGTATGTATGTAAGTAAGTAAGTAAGCAAGTAAGTCAGTAAGTAAGTAAAGCAAAAAAACAGTAAGTATGTAAGTATATAGGTATGTCTGCAAGCCTGTATGTAAGTATATATGTAAGTATGTAAGGGTGTAAGTATGTAAGGATGTAGGTAAGTATGTAAGTATGTAAGTATGTAAGTATGTAAGCCTGTAAGTCTGTAAGTCTGTATGTAAGTATGTATGTAAGTATGTAAGCTTGTAAGTATGTAAGTATGTTTGTTTGTTTGTAAGTAAGTAAAAAAAAAGTAAGTAAGTAAGTAAGTAAGTGAGTAAGTGAGTAAGTGAGTAAGTGAGTAAGTGAGTAAGTGGGTAAGTAAGTAACTAAGTAAGTAAGTAAGCAACCAAGTAAGTAAGTAAGTAAGTAAGTAAAAAAGAAAGTGAGTAAGGAAGTAAATAAGTAAAAAAGTAGGTAAGTAGGTAAGTAGGTAGGTAAGTAGGTAGGTGGGTAGGTAAGTAAGTAAGTAAGTATGTAAGTATGTATGTAAGTAAGAAAGTAAGTAAATAAGTAAGTTTGTAAGTATGAAAGTGAGTGAGTCAGTGAGTGAGTGAGTGAGTGAGTGAGTGAGTGAGTGACTGAGTGAGTGAGTGAGTGAGTGAGGGAGGGAGCGAGCGAGGGAGGGAGTGAGTGACTGACTGACTGAGTGGGTGAGTGAGTGGGTGGGTGGGTAGGTAGGTATGTACATGTTTATATGTTTGCATTCATATTCCATATATATGTATATATATGTATGTATTTTTGTGGACGCAGTGGATATATGCATATGTATATTTTTGATTGTGTATATAAATATATATGTAAATGTATATATGTAAATGTGCACGATTGTATGTGTAGATTTGATGGCTAACAATGGATTGTGGGGCATCCTATTTTGGAGCGTTTTTGGACAATTCCAAATCAACGATAACAAATCGAAACTATCTATACAGCAACAGGATCGAGTGGATCTTCCTGGGGATTGAACCAACCACGAAGAATTCAACTTCAATGACATGCGTGGTGGCGCACGACAACAAACTATCCTGGCAATGGAAAAAAAAAACAAAACAGTTAATCATCTTCCATTGAAGGTATTTCGCGAGGTTTCGAGAAAAAAACGGTTCCAGGTTGGGTGCATTCCGCGTTTCCTTGGATCTGCCGAAAATCCGCCCGGTAATGAAAAATCGATTGCTGGAAATTGCTCAATTTTAATTCAGTTAAGTTCAATGATTCAATCATATTTCCCGGCTATAAACCTCCATTTCCAAGGAATTTCCCATTGCCACGTGTGATTATCGGAGGGTAAAACATGGTTACGGCGCCTCTAGAAGTGCGGCGCTTTCAGCGTTTCTGAAAGTGGACAATCGTCGCTCTTTTTTTCATCTTCATGCGAGACGCCATAGTCCGACTCTGTTGTTTTTTTTTGAAAGCTCCCCCCAACTGATCCGTTAGGGAGTAGCCAGGAGCTAGCACTTCGTGCAACCATTACCATTGCCATATTAGGCAGCGTTTCATCAACGCAGCTGCGCTGCTGTTCCATGTGCGTTCAATTTCCGAGAGAGAGAGAGAGAGTGTATGTGGGATGTATGATTTCATATGATCCCATGTTCGGCCAAAGACCTGTGTGCAAGTTACATGAAAAAGATGTTACAACGTATTAGGAACGTCTTGCAAGTTACTTGACGAAGAGGTTACAACGTATCAGGGGGCGTCTTGCAAGTTACTTTTCGAAGATGGCACAAGTTACGTGAAGAAGATGCTACTACGCATCAGGAACGTCTTGAAAGTTACATGAAGAAGATGTTACGACGTATCAGGAACGTATTGAAAGTTACTTGCAAAGATGCTACAACGTATCAGGAACGTCTTGCAAGTTACTTACAGAAGATGTTACAACGTAGCAGGAACGTCTCGAAAGTTACTTGAAGAAGATGCTACAACGTATCAGGAACGTCTTGAAAGTTACTTGACGAAGATGTTGCAACGTATCAGGAACGTCTTGAAAGTTACTTGAAGAAGATGTTACAACGTATGAGGAACGCCTTGAAAGTTACTTGACGAAGATGTTACAACGTATCAGGAACGTCTTGCAAGTTACTTGAAGAAAATTTTGCAATGTATCAGGAACGTCTTACAGAAGATGTTACAAGGTAGCAGGAAATCGTTGTTGACAACGCAGACCACCGGACGCTATTACACCCCCCCAAACCCACCTCCCAAAAAAAATGGGCGCCGTCACCTAAAACATCTTCCTTTTTTCAGATTTTCAGGACCCTAGAAATCCTAGAATGGAACTAATCTGGCATATTTTTGGCCATATTTGGCGGGATTGCCGATTCCACCCTAAAATAAGCCTTACGATCCTTTAAAAAAATGGTAGGCACCTCCAGCTTTGCCAAGGCCCACGGAGAAATATCTGATATGTGCCACCTGGGGATCCTCATCTTATGTTCGATGCAAAAAAAACTGAAAAGACCGCTTGAAATAGATAAAACATGATAAAAACCATTTAAAACATAGAACTCGTTATGCCTGAGAATGATATCCCAATGTTCAATGTTTAAACCACTGTTTATTTTTTTAATTATCTGCCCCATTATATATCTTATGATATTCTGTATATTCATATATATATATGTGTGTGTGTATATATATTGCAATGTGTACCAGTAGTACCGCACAAGGCGGTGGCGGAAGTTTCAAAGATAGGAAACCTATAGGGGAGGATGGTTGCTGTGAATCACGGATGGCAGAGCGAAATAATGCTGGATCGACAAATGGTTGGACTGTTGGGCTATCTATCTGTCTATCTTTCTGTCTACCTGTCATCTGTCTATCTATTCATCCTAACTCGGCCCGAGACCCTCAACTTAACATTTTTGACTTGAAAATGTGCTTCGCGCCACAACGCGTGCACTTTTTCAACACCGACACTGAGGTTGTTTGCGAAAATGTGCTTTGCGCCACAACAGTGTCCACTTTTTCAACAGCTCAACTTCCAAAAGTGCTACGACACTGAGGTGCTTTAGCATTTTGACTTGAAAATGTGCTTCGCGCCACAACGGCGTGCACTTTGTTCGACATCTGAACTTCCAAAGGTGCTCCCATGCTGGCGTATTTTTTTTGCATTTTGACTTGAAATTGTGCTTCGCACTACAACGGCGTTCACTTTTTCAACAGCTCAACTTCCAAAAGTGCTCCGACGCTCAGGTGACGTTTTGACTTGAAAATGTGCTTCGCGCCACAACGGCTTGCAATTGTTTATCTCGCATCTCCCCAGATGGCTTCGCACCCGGCTTTAGCGAGCCTACTTTTCGACCCTCCGGGGCCGCAAAACATTGGAAAACGCAGGGTTTCGCGACTTTTCTACCTTTTCGCGCACCTGCATCTTCTTTCTTCTGACTCTGTCTCTTCTCTGATCCTCTTTCTTATCCTCTTCTGAATCTTCCCATCTCTGCTTTTTCATCTGTCCATATTGTCGGAAGTTTGACTTCTAAACTTCCTTCGATTGCATATATCCATTGTATGCCCATTATGCATCATGATCTTACATTCCCATTATATTAGAATTACATTCTTTCCCATTATATTCCAATTATAGCAAATTATTTCCATATACATGATATTCCTATTCTATATATATATATCCCTTGATAAGAATATCCCAATATATCCCCATCATATTGTACTTGGTGGTTCATCCCACTTAGTACAGTAGGTTAGTTCACCCAAAAGTGGATTGACCCTACTTAGCCCACTTGATGAACCAAGGATACCGGTATAAGCTACTTAGGATTCGTGGGTAGTTCGCCACCAAGTATATATCATCATATACCCTCTGGTAAACGTTTACATAACTATGGAAAATCACCATGTTCAATGGTAAATCCACCATGTCTATGGTCATTTTCAATAGCTATGTTAGTCATTACCAGAGGAATCATCATCAAAAATAATTTCTTCCCACCAAGCTCCAGAACGAGATGCCTCGTAGGCGCTCTTTGACAGGGTCCAGCCACAGGTGTGAGGTCACGTTGCGGATACGAAGCACCTGGGGCCGAAAAAGGCCACGGGGCTTCTAACCGGGGTGGCTGGAGATCGATATCTTATCAGACAAAAATTGTTATATCCTTATACATATGTTGGTCAACTTTCTGTTAGTAAATTCGGTTTTATATAAATCACGTTTATATAAGCTATAGTTATATATATATTATATATAGAAGCTAATTACGTGTATATACAGCAACCTTATTAAATGGGTTGAACCACCCAACAAAGATAGAAACACGTCACGAGAGAACGGGCACCTCCCTTGAACCTGGAGAGTCCCGTAAGGAAAATCAACGCCAGAACGCGTTTAGGGAAGTGTATTTTATCAGGTCAGCCAAGAATATGGTGTTTTACCAATGGGGTTGACCTACAAAAAACACTGCCGTTAAGCACTCACACTTTTGAACCGACGCTGCATGTAGTCGATATGATGTACACGGAACATAATAGGGTTTTACTGCAGGAGTTTTTACACGCCCCTCAGGCGAGCAGAGACTGCGGCGAGACTGAATAACCAATGAGCCGGTAGCCGGTTTGTTTTTCTTTGGCTTTTCAAAATTTTATGCCGCATTTCAAAAGTCTCTCTAAAAAGCTCAAGCCTGAAAACACACGTAGCAAAGCAAGGGAAGGCAACTTACCACGCTACACATCATATCTAGCGGTTCCAGAGAATCCAACGGCCGCCGGCCCCATCTCGGAAATACCACGCCCCTCGCCAGTAACTCCATTCGCGGAGAGCACCATAGTGATCTCGATTCCAACTCCACGAAGCATCAGGGCGACCTGGGCTGGATGCCTTTGCCGTAGGTGGCGATTCCGGCTCCAGAAATGGTCTTGCGCTGCTCTTGGGAGTTGGTGCCTCTGGCACGAGGAAAGGCGTTGATCCGGATGAGGCTGCCGCTCGCGCGGAGCTGGTGACAGTTTCGGCCGCCGTCGAGGTTCCTACGACTTCCTCCTCAGCCTTTCTTTTGTGCCTTTGCAGCTACACTCTGCTTTTCCTTCCTGGCAATGTTTTCGATCGCCAAGGGAAGGTTGCGTTCATACAGCTCGTCCAGGAATCTTTGCGTCCCATCGAAAGGAACTTGGACGATTCCGGACCATGTGAGAAGCTGCCTGTAGGAATTCTTTCGACCAATTTATTCGATATACTCGGTCTCGCTGAAAACATGTCGCCCAAACATGAAGCCCCATACCTTGGTCACTTTTTGCTTGAACAAAGGGGAAACCATCCACACCTGCAGGCTGGGACATATAGATCAGCTTCGAGAGACAGTTGGCATGTTCAGCATTGGCGGCAACGCCAGCTGATACCTGAGTCCTGGTGCGAGGTGGATCTGGCAAACTTGCGAAGGCCATCATGTCATCAAACATGCAGTCATTGAGCCCTCTGCCATCCTCATGCACCCTGTCGCAGAAAGTCACATCGCTGGCATATAGCGGTCTTCAACATTTTCATAGCCCATCTGCTTTGCCCTTTTGTAGCGATCTCTGCAATCTCTCAGGACAGACGACTCCAGGCTTGTAATGCCTCTTGCCCCTATCTCTTTTCGAAGTGCATCAGCCTGCTCACCTGTAAGGGTGGCTAGTAGCGTGGAGTTGACTTTTCCGAACATACCAAATTCCGCAAGCTTCTTCATGCGCTTCTCGAGTACCTTCGTTCTGCGGTTTGGTTGTCGTTTGATTTCACCTGATTCGTCAACAGGAAGGGGCTCGTATCCACAAGTTGTGCAGGTGACCTGGCCGCTGACATACTCCACCATGAATGGCTCGGCATTTTTCGGTGCAATGTAGACACGGCGCACCCGCGAGGGTGGCTGGTCACTGCGCACCCTGGTGTCAGCTTGGTCGGCACTTGCTGTGATCAGGTTGCCCTGTGCTGGTGTCATCCATGGCGACGTAATTGGAGGGATCATTGCCATCACGTGAGTCGAACACCTGACGTTGGAGTTGAGGGTTCTGCCGGCTTCTCCCAGGTACTGGGCTCGAGATTGCTCTCGGCGCGGCTCCACAAAACCTTGTCATCCTCAGTAATGCTCACGATGTACTGGGAAGGTATTCTTTCCGACGTGATGATCCCGTCCATCTCAGTTCGCCCGAAGATAACACCACCTTGGACAGCCTGCTTCAGTGAGATCTTGACCTCAACGTTCTGGGCATTTTCCACGCAATCCAGATCGATAGCCATCAGCGCCATAGCGTTTGTCAGAAAGGTAGACGTGAGCTCTGCCTGAATTCACGGTTTCTCCGCCGCCAGGCAGGAGGCCGTTTTTGGCAATGCTCTTCCAGTTGCTTTTCATCGTGCGATAGGCAACCGTCGGAACCTCCGCCATGTCGCAGATGGGCACGCCCGCAAAGGCGGCTTTTCGCTCCGGGCTGACGTTTTCAGCACAGTAGACCTGGATGGAGTTTGCGTAAAGTCCACCGGCTCTTTCTAAGGCTTCTTTGGAGTGGCCTTGGATGGCGCGGATTTTCACTGGGACAAAGACGCTCTCAAATTGTTTTCATAGCCGAGTTCTCCAATGCGAGCGCAGAGAAACTGAAATCTGCTTTTGCCATGCCGATCCATCTTCATTGCCACGCCAAACAAGTTGCTGACTGTGATGTACACATCAGGGGGCACTTCCTTGCGGAAGGCTTTTGCGTAATCTTCCAAATCAATGAACAGCTCTTTGTCCATTGGGACTCGGGAGCATGACGCAATACCCCTGCAAACCTTGTTCACTCGTGTGGCAAAATCGGCAAATCGCTTGTCCACGTGGACAGCTTTGGCAAGACACTCGACATCGGAGGCACCTCAGTTCGAGCTCGTATGCGACACCGTTGAAGAGGATGATGGGGACGTCACGTCCTTCGGCGTTGGTCACCATGGTATACTGGTACTCGGGAGGTGATCCTCCATCCAATATGCCTTGACAAGTCCACCAACATGTTCCTCTGGGCGCGCAGGCAACTACTGCGGCCGGTTCGCACTTGAGCTTGGGCCCGAAGGCGCTGATGGTGCAGCTTTCGATTTCAATTCAACTGTGGGAGCTGTGACTGTGAGAGCTGCTGCTGATGCGGGCTTGGGCAAACCGTCACCGGTGGCCGGTTTGGGAGGTGGTCCTGACGGAGCTGATGCAAACATTTTGGGATCCATGGTCTTGGTGTCCATGAAATCATCCGTGTCAGGTTGGCGGAGCTTCACCTCCTCAGCCGTGAAAGCCACCCCACGGGGTATGATGTGCTTTCTTGACTCCCCAAACACCAGCTTGGTCACCTGCGAGATGGTCTCCTTGTAGGACTCCGGTGATGCCTCAAAGATGAAATTCATATTCCTCCTGAAGTGTTCAAAGGACTCTTCCGGCAACCGGTCCAGCTCAAACTCCACCCGATCCACGTTCCATGCACAATCCAGTGCAAAGAGAGTTTCCGCCGTCCAGCACGAGGCTAAGCGGACACGGTTCTCCTCGGAATTGACGAAGTGCCATTTGTCCTTGAACTCCATGCCGTCAGCATATCCCGTCGCCGGGAGCCATGGGAACCGTGGATCGGAGCGGTGTCGCGGGCGTCTGGTCATCTCCCTGAACTTCGGCTCCAATGCCTTGAAGAACTCATCGAAGATGGGGTGGATGTTGTAATCAGCCGACCAGGGCGTGGTGGTGACACCGGCCGTTTGGAGGCCCAATTCCTTAGCCTTCCTTATACCAGTCCAAGTGTCGCTCACAATCGGCTAAGATCGTCGGCCAATGGCCGTTCGGGCCGTAGTACGGCCATGGGCGATTCCATCCTCCACGACAAGTTCATGTCCGAACCAGGCAATGTGAAGGTTGATGCGGACATCGTCACTGTAGCGCTCGCGGGCATCCGCGGCCAGTTCAATGCCTCACTTCACAAGATGCCTGAGGGTTTTGCCCCACATCATTTCATGGATGAATTCTGACACATACCAGGGCTTTTCGCTCCTTGAAGTGCTCTGCCAGGTCATACTTGCGCAGCGTATGCCGGCGACCTGTGATGAGGGCACAGCATGAGTCAGAAACCAAAATCCAAACGACGGGGCTCGGAGTCACCTCTGGCGGGCTCACCTTTTCAAGTTCGGATTCTTTCGGCAAAATGCAGAACTTCAGGACATCATTCACCAAGGGGTCCTTGTCACCGTATACAAGCGCACCGCCGAAGCAGGTGTCCACTCATTCATGAGACCTTCCACGAGGTCGGATGCAAGGGTACCTTCACCTTGGCTACGGACCACCAATTTCAATGAGTACAGGATTTTGCTATGAAGGTTGGCCCACCACTTCTTGTTCCTTTTACGTGTGGCAACATCGAGCGCGGCCTCACGGTTGGCCGGGTTGGCTGCGAGTCGCGAGTCAGCCATTTTGACAGGAAAGGAAAATTTGACACTACAGGCTTTCCTTTTGGATGCTTGGTCTCTCGCAGCTACCTGGAAACACTCATGAAGCATGTCAGTCAACTTGAAGGTGTAATTTTCAGCAAGTTTGAGTGCTTTACCTCGACTTGATCATGCTCATGTGAACCTTCACAACGATAGGAATCAAGTTTTGAAAGCTCTTTGAAGTTTCCAGCAATAGTCCAACTTTTCTTCAAAGGTTGACCGTTTTTCCCAAGAACTCCCATCATACATCCATCAAAATGGTGCACGGACATGAAACGTTCAATGAGAAACTTTCTCACCATCGGCCATCTCCAGTACTTACAGTTTTTCGAAAGTTCAAATGCTGTCAAAGTTCGTTCATCATAGACTTCATCCACAAGTTTGACAAAAGACTTGAAAAGTTTGGTAAACTGTTTTTGTTGCTCTTTGATTCTGTCTTGTCCTTCAACAGTAAGACCATTTACATTTCCCCAGGGGCTTCCTCCAACACATGGCAACGATGCATACAAAATCAAGGTGCGATTCTCAAAGTCATTTCTAAAATCTTTGACTTGGGAAGCTAGTCGTTGCCGACAGCCGTCAGTTGTACCATCATCTTTCTCGGTAACCCTGACGCAATGACA